CAAATAGATAAAATAAGTTAGGTTTTAGTCGAAAATGAATTTTTAGGTGGGGCCTAGTTGATATGTAATGGAAAAAGGGGGGGGGGGGAAGGGGGAATCACCACTTAAAAGTAAAATGGGTGGTTAGTTCGGCATCCATGGAGGCAAAAAAACCTCCATCGTGTTTAAAATGTGTGAGTAAGCATGCCATTCACGGGAAGATAACGTTAGTTGACATGGCCCATCAAATAATGGGTTATTTGTCCAAGTTAAAAACTTTGTGGGTGGATTTATCCTCATTTTTTGTTCGGGGGTGGATCTATCCTTACCACTATACTTTGGGGGTGATTTGAGTATTTTGTCTATAGAAAAATGTTGCAAGTATTATGGAAAGTGGGTTCTGTTTTATATACTGTTTTTAACTTTTTATGGATAGCTACTTTATTCCAACCTTTAGCTATATGATGTAATTAAGAGTTTATTATCTGCTAATAAACACATATTATGGATTATATTATTATTGTGTCAAATTTATATCATAGAGATAGATTATTATTTTTTGAGAGAACTTGTCAAATTACTCTTCCTCCTCCTTCTTCTTCTTCTTTTATTTATTTATTTATTAGATTTGCTAAATAAGGATGAAATATCTTGTAGCTGGCTTCACAAAAATAGTGATGGTATTTCTCATCTTTATAAGCAACTTGTATAACCATAGGAAATTTTGTTATTAAGCATCCATATAATAGCAATACTGGGTTATTAATATTAATCAAATAACTACAATATATATTTGTTGTTATTAATTATTAGCAATAGGAAATTGCCATTATTGAATGGATTAACATGTATACTTTTCATGACTAGGAAAACTCTAATGGTTGGAAACAACAATGAAGGGAGGGGATTAGGACTTTTAATGATAGTAAAGTGATCGCATTCTTGAAAACTTTTATACATGAAGGAAACAACAAAAAGTTACAATCGTAGTCCCGTGGTTAATAATAAATCAATGACAGTAAATTGATCTATAAACAATAGGAATTAGGCTTTTAAAGTCCCCATTTTTTTAAGTGAACTATAAATCTAACCTATAGACTAATTAATTATCAATAATGACTCACTAATTCAAAATCATTTCCAAAAGAGAATATGTCATCCCATGATAATCATTAGCAGAAACAAGGTTGTAGATATGGTCAAGACATTGTATTAATAGTGGTGTTACCACGTTGGCCCATGGGCCTTATCTTGGCTAGGAAAAAAATTAAAACCAAAAGGCCTATGCCATAGGGTTTGACCAAATATCTAGCATTAAGCACATACATGAGCCATGAATTGGAATTTGGAAGTGCTGTGCTTCAACAACATCATACTAAACACCTTATATTATCTTACATGTGGCTCCATATGATGTCGAAATCATGAGACATTTCTTTCCTTTGAATGTAACCCATATGGGTCATATCTAATTCAAAAATGATGTGGTATTGCTTTTTTAAAAAGGAAAAACTTTTTATGTTTATATATATATTTGAAATATAAAACTAAGTAGAGTGTCGACACTTATGCTTAGGGGTCAATCCTCTTCCCATTTTCATAAATTCTTCACCTTAAAATTTTAATTCATTAACTTGAGTCCCGCTTGTCTCTAGTAGAGGGTGAGTATGGGGTGCAGTAGACTCATTCTTTACAAGTATTTTATCTATTTAGGTAAGTATTATATTCAAATTATAAAAAATGAGTAAATAATGAGTATAAAAATAATAAATCTATAAGTATTAAGTTAAATAATAAATATAGAAGTTAAGAATTATTTACTTGACATGTTACATATATTTATATAATTGAATTTTACTTATACTTATTATATTTAATATTTATATAATAATAATAATTTTTAAAAATAAAAATAATAAAATATAATAAATAAAAATAAAAGTTAAGTATGACCTATAAACTAAGTAAATCATATATAAATAACAATAACTACTCATACAAAGAACAAATCTTAAAATAAATACATAACATATGTAACAATAGCATCTCATGCTAGACCTTTTTTTTGGCCAAGTACATAAATAAATACCTATAAATTACCTGATACATGTTGGGTTAAGTATCAAATATAGGTCATTGAGTATTTATAACATCCCCTTTTGATAAACTAAAGGTTTATCAAGTAGGGAAATGTCCTGCACAATTAAAAATAATAGAAAATATCTATAGAATCAAAAGGCTCATATTATATACCATTCATAGGTTGAAAAACAGTACAAAATTGATTGAAAATTATAGAGCCAAATGGAAGTTTTGGGTAGATACATATTTGCCTTACTAATATTTCGAAGCATGGCTTACAGTTAGCATAGGACCTCCACCCACAAAAAAATTCTTAGGAATAATAGCTACTCTTCATTGTTACTATCTAAAATGGTAGGAATAACACCATGAGCTCACAGTACAATAAGCATAATTCTTAATCTTAAGTTAAGTTGATAATCTAATCTTAGTATTTTATGTAGAAAAATTCCTTTAGTTCCTAGTTGTATTGGCCTTATTGAAAATTAAGGGATTGCAGCCACAAAATGATCACACAAACACAACACACCACATAGAAATAACACAAACTGTGGAATCCACTAAATGTGCATGCATTCACATTAGGTGCCAGAGCTAATCATAGCACTTACTTACTGCATAGAGGTCCACTGGTTCATTGTTCTAAACTTAGAGCCTAGGTTGGGGCCCAAACTCTCCATAGTTCTAAGACAATTGCATCACAGAACCACATATAGCACATATATTCATGCATAATAGATTCAATGTTTACTTAATATGGTCTATAGAACTAATAGAAATATGCTATAATGTAGTGCCCAAGTCAATTACACAAGACATAATCTAGAAAATGTGATACACATAACATATTAATCTCCAAAACTTTAACTCATTTAAGTACAAAAATTTTATAGGTTTAGCATATGAAATTTCTAGTTCTTCTTACTTGCTATATTTATTTCTCTCTCTATTATATAACTTAAATTGCAACAACTTAATTTCTTGTGTTTATTCTATTTGTTTTATTTACCTTTACTTTGTTTGACAACGTTGACTTAAAATTAAGAATTACACTTACCCCACACACTAATTCAAAATTCTAGGCTTGACAGAGTTTCCTCAAAGATCTCCAAGTCTACCCAGCCTTTCAGCACCTTCTTTCTCTTTCTCTTTCGGTCCAGCTAGAGCAAAATGTAGGAAAATGACTAATTTAGTGATATGGCTTAAAAAGCTATGGTCAAGTGGGTTTTAATTGCTCCCCACTTGGCCCACTTCTCATTCAACCACCTGCCATTTATTTTAACAAATTATAGACAGCTGGACTGCACTAACTCTCCCTAAAGTAGACACATAGTATACAATTTATTAAAATAATATGCAAATCTCATAATTAACAATAATTGTAGATTAGTCCTTGATTCTAGATAAGATGAAGGACTCTAACTTTAGACTTAATGCAAATAAAGGCCTCTTTTGTTTTCGTTTTTTTTTTTTTTTAACTAATTGCAAATAAGGGTTAGAATATCACAGTATTTAGATAGGTACCAAATCTAAAAAGTTGTATCTAAAAATTTTCAAATCAAATACCAAATATAACTCACATCCAATACCTAAAAATACTCACCCTTAGTGTCTAGAAAAAAATATTTTCTATTGAGTATCATTATCTCAAGGGAAAATGATGCATATTAGACATAATTTAAGCCAAGATAGAAGTTTTCAAATTTCACACTTTATTTTTTAAATTAGGCACTAGTTAAGACCTTTATATGAATAGTATCTTATTTTTTACTAAACCTCCCAATATCTAGAAGTTATATTGGACCTTAACTAATTTAAACTCAAGTCGTATCCAACCCCATAAGGGAGGAAGCTCTTCCAGCACTTGTCTCTTCATTCACAACACTCGAATTCAAAACCTTACTTAAGAGAAACTAAACCTTTTCTACTTGAACCAACAAATTGTTGGTTTATAAACATTATCTCTTTCAACATAATTAATGGTTTAAAATATATATTATTATTCAAAACTAGATGCAACAAACTCTATAATGAGCAATAGACAATAATAATATGCTATCTCACAAAAGAGTCCCACAAGCACAATTACATAATTTCTTTGGGGAAAAAAATATAATATACAAGTAAGACCTCTTTGCATGAAACTCAAAATAAATTTACACATTCAAAAGTCTATACCTTTGGTCAGATAAACCTTTTAGATAAAATATCTATCTTGATGTCTGATGCTTATTCCCCACACCCATCCCCAAAAATTGCCATATACCATAGTCACCTTTGGGCTAGCCATAGCAATAACAACTGTTGACTCAATGTACTCCAAGAGGGGGGATGAATTGGAGTTGGAGAATTTTCGCCTTTTTGCAACCACAACACCCAAATTAAAGAGAGTAGAGAAGAAGAGCTTGCTCAATGATTTATAGAGGTTCGGTCCAACCACTTGGAGCCTAGTCCTCTACCTTGGCTTCACTCACCAAGGATTTCCTCCACACTC